GGGAATGATGTCCCTGGGAACAAGAGAGAGAGTAACATGGCACAGATCCTTCAGAGGGAGGAAACTTTAGAAGCTATGGAGTTTGTAAGCAGGAGCCTGGCTATTTGAGTGGGTGGACCATCCTAGGCCCACCATGGTCATGGGGTGGCTGGAGCTGTCCTATGGGAGAATTTTGGTGAGGGAAGCAAAGGGAGAATCCTATTTAGACAGCAGAGAAGGAGGACAAGAGAACAAAATGCCTCTGCTTGGGAAACTGAAGGGATTTCTCTTCTCAGCCCCTGAAGCTCCCTTACCTCCTGTCATCTTCCCCTTGCAGCCTTCTCTTTGAGCATAGATAGATTCCCCCTCAAAAAATAAAAACAAAAACATGTAAGCCAAGAGAAACTACATCTCTTCAAAAACAGAAGGCAGGGTCATTCTAATATTTGAACATGGACTGTTCCAGAGAGCAGGAGGACGTGTCAGGAATGAGATTGGTCTGAGCAGGGCCCCAGGAACACTGCCCTCCTCTACCAGGGAGATGAAAGAATTTTCTCCTTCCTTTGCCTTTTAAATGTAATTCTGTCTGCCCTTCTCTCTCCCCAGCCCTCTAGCTGGGAGTGGTGCAGACAGTAGCCACCCTGGGAAAGGCAGGATCCTTTTCATTTACTGCAGCCTGATTAAAGTCCCTAGAGCCATGGTGGATTTCATTTTCCTCCTGCTTTCTGTCTGCCTGTCATCAGTTCCTCCCCACACAGCTAGGCTGCCATGGCCACTGCTTCCCAGWGGGACTGAATGGAATAGGGTGCCAGAGGGGTTGACAGTGGGGAAGGGTCTTGTCCTGGGCTTTTGTAGGCAATGGCTTTAGTGGAAAACAGGTTTATCTCTTCTTGCCTGCCTCAGTTTCCCCTGAATTACTGAATGTTTCCACCTGACCTTCAGTATAAAGTCAGCAGCTGATTGGCGTGTAACTGGACAAAATGATCAGTCCCACCCATCCATCCCTCAGACTAAAAACGGAGGATGCCATTCCAGGTCCACTTAATCAAGCTATCTTTGATTAGAGGAGACGTCCTCAGATGGCCTGGGGGTTAAGAGAGTCATGCAGGCATCTGTGAACTAGCAAGGTGATCTTGGATATGTCCCTTAGCTTTTTTTTTTTTTTCCTACAAAGTAAGAGTTTTCAAAACATGCTTTGGTTGTAGGACATTTGTCTTCCAATAAAGTTGCATTCAACAGACAGAGAGAGGCAGAGTCATTCTGGTTGAAGGGAGGGAGGGGACCAGTGGGGCTGCCACTGTCAGGATCACATTCTGTCACCCCAGATCCCGTACAAGTGACTGCTGATTCCTCTGAGGACACAGTGATATCCTCTTCCTCCTCAGGAACTGGCAACTGTCTTTTTCAGGCCTTGGCACTGAAGAGTCCAGATTTAGGTGGTCTGTGATTTTGAAACATAGGTAGGCTTGCTTGTCCTATACTTCTCATCAAAACCTGAGCACTTTTTCCTGGGTGCAGAATGTGTGGTCTTCTAAGAAATCACCCACTTTGGGGAATGCTCACAGTGCAGGGGTTGTATTTCTGCCCAAGAACTTGCATTTGGTTACAGCTTAGTTAGAGCTTGGCAGGCAGGGAGTTGTGGCTTGATGGTGAGGAAAGACAGGTTTCTTCATACACACAGAGGGCAGGTGACAAGGCTTGCCTTTGGCTGCTTGCAGGTCAACTGCCACTGTCAATGCCCACTAGACTGTGAATAACATATTCAGAATCTGCAAGGTGAGAGAATGGAGATGTCACTCAGTGGTAGCGCCCTTTGCCCAGCATGTGCAAGACAGTGAGTGCTTGGGTCCCATCCCCAGCACTGGGAAAAAAAAAAAAAGGAAAAGAATCAGAAGGTCCAAGATAAGGGAGTGCAGGAGTTTTAGAAATTTCTTGATTACTATCTCTGATGCCACCTCCCTGAACCCTCCCACTCAGCCTCAGAGGAACCAGTGCAGCTGAGCTGGGGATGGGCCCATTCATCCTGCCCCTGTCTCATCTGCAGGAAAGGGAGAGCCCTCACTGTGCCTGGTGGTGCATTCATTCCCGGTTGGTTCAGCCTCTTTCACTTGCATACAGTTCTTGCTTAAATGTAACCTCTGACTTCTACACACTGAAGTATAAGCCAATATTCTCTCATAAAACCGGTAGCGGGTAGAGAAGCGCTGGCTTGCCATCGTGGGAGCTGATTAATTCATTCAAATATTGGAGTGGCTCCTTCACGCAGGAAACGCGCCTGGTGCTGAGTGCCATTTCCTTTTGTCAGCTTGAAGGAGGCCTTAAGCTGCCTCTCACACTTCTGTTCTCCACGCACAGCAATTTACTCATTCTCGCCCTCACCTCGGGGTTGACAATATTCTCCATTTTTCCTTTTAAGTTATTTGACCAACAGGTTATTTAGTGACTAAGTGTATGTCCAGAAGATAATATGCCAACCGTATTCTGGTTAGAAATGGTCTTGATGGGCATATTCTTGTTAGGTGAATAAAGAAAAGAATAAGATCCATACAAGAGCACAGAATGGAAATTTCAAGAATTAAGAATTAAACTGTAYACATTGGATGCTTTCCTGAGAGAAGGAACAAGAGGATCTAAGTTTACCTGGGAGAGTGGAATAAACCTTAACTTTGAGTCAGAGACACAATGAGTCATAACCAAAGATGCTGGATTTCCAGTTCCAATCAAGCACATGGATCTGGTCTTTTCTCAATCCCAAAACCACTGACATGAGGAAATAGTGCAGATTTTAAGATGCTTTGAACACACTTGTGGTTTATTTTTAGTGGCAGGATCTTAGGACTAGGATAAATGTACGTTTTTGGTCTCCTGCCTCCTGCTTACCTGGGGAGCCCTGTTGGAGGTGCTGGAAGGGTTTCTGCTAGCTACTCCTCACAGGGCCTGGAGGATTTGGGCTGATTCCTATGTGCAAACACGTGTTGCTGGCTGTATCTTGCAAAGTTTACTCCCTTGCCCATACCCAGCCCCACCGGCATTTGGCCCTCCTCCCGCTATGCCCAGTTCAGATCAGAGGCTTAGGTTGTACTGATAAATTCAGAAGGCTGGATGATCATCACCAACTAAGTAAGAGTGTCTGGAGGAAGGGTTAGCTAAGGGTTATTCACCAGAACACAAGCTTCATGTTACTGCCTGTGGCTCATGTGACTAACACTCTAGCACTCGTCTTTTTCCTATGCCACAGCCCCTCAACAAATGGTCTCCGATGTGCTATAATTTAGAGTCATCTTATCATAGATGAAAGAGACTGAACTTTGAGAAAGTGTAGTTTGGGATTTAAATCCAAAATACACGTACTAACATGAGACCTAGCAAATGTTACTTAATTTGCTAAGTCTTGATTCTCCCCATCCATGAAGTGGAGGTACTTTCTGTCTCATGAAGGGGTTGTGAAAATTGATAAAGAAAAATTATATAAAGTAGCAACCAGTGTGCAGGGACCCAGGCCATTCTCTGTGCATCAAATCCTGTCCCCTACTCCCGCCCCCATTTTTCCTGGAGGAGGCTGTGGCTGGCATTGGATAGACACACAGTCTGGTGTATTGGGACTGGTGAGCCTCTGTCGCTCTGCCTGTGCTCTTTCAACTCCTGCCACCTTTTCATTTTTAAGGCTCAATTCAAATTCCATCTTACTTCAACAGCCTTACCGTGACCTCTCTTGTATCATCCTTCAAGTTTGACACGGGCCCTCTGCTACATGCTATTTGTACTGAAATGCACATGTCTGACCCTTTAACCAAACTGCAAGTCCCTTGAAGACGGAGGCTGGGTCTTCTAATGATGTTGTCCCTTAGTGCCTAGGCAAGTGGCCAAGTGGGTTGTTGCTTGATTGTTTAATTACAATCAGAGGGGACAAACTGGTTGTTTATCAGAATGCCTGCCCACAGAAAGGGTGAGTGGAGAAAATGACCTCAGCTCTAGCTACACTTAGGTATCACCTTTGGCAGAGTCACTGAGGGAAGCTAAAAATCCCAAAGTTTTTCTGGAGGCTGGAGGAGCATGGCTCCTTCTCTTTTTTGAATCAAACAAAATATTGTTACAGAAAACATGAAATCTTTCCTGGTTTTCATGAAATGCTCTCCAAGTCTAACAAAGCTAGCCATCATACCCCTGCAATCAAAATGAGCTTCTTTCCTTTGTCTCTTTATCCCACTCATTCCCAACATTTTTTAAAGCAATAATAAAAAATGTGATTATTTCATTAATCAATCATGTGTTTTATTGAGTGCTTTTCTGGTGCCATGTACTACAGAGAATATATATGTATAAAATAGAAATATTTTAACCTTATCCTTCAACATTGATTAAGCAGAGAAGTGTGGAAGTATGCATAAACCTGACTCTTATCCTGTCTTGTTTGTTGTATGTGATTGTTTGAAGTATAAGTTATGAACATCTAAATAGTAAATAAAATCTCAGGCAGCACAAGGATTGAGGTAAACTGAGTCACATGTAAATGAAAAGAAGAAAGGGTCATTTTAATTACTCTGATTTTAAAAAAGAGAAAGAAAAATCCTTCCCGGAGAAGATGGGTCTTTGTCTCTGAAACCATAATTATTAACTTCTTGTATTACTAGTTTGATAGTAGGAGTAAAGCCAGGGGCCTTCTCCCTTGGGAAATGTATACATCTATAGACTCACACATAATTTTATGAACAAACAGTTTCAGGGAGCCAGTAGTTCTCCTGAAGTCCAACCATAGCTCTTGTTCTTATTTAAGGCCTTTGCAGAATTGGTAGCACATATAAGGAAAGGAGGGCAGGGCGGCAAGGGAGAGGTGAAACCAGAGAGGTGATGGRCACAGAGAGAGAAGACCATCCGGTCTAGATTCCTGGAAACACCACCTTTACCTCTAGTGGCTATACTTCTTGAGCTCTGACCCAGGCTCTGCTGTGCCCAGGTCTTGAGGATGCTGTATGCAAACTGTGAGAAGTATCATTAAGGAAAACTCCTTTGTTCTTTTCCAGCTCCTCACAGCCAGTGACCTTGCAGCCAGTGACCTCAAAGGATTTCAGCCACAGGTGAGTTCCCCTGATGCTTTTCCAAAGTTTAAGTGAGTAAAATGTTCTGTGATTTGGTCATGAGTGAATGAACTTGACTCCAGGACAGTAATGTCCACCTGGGACCTCCAGCATCTCTGACCGTGAGAATGACCTGGTAGCTCCACTCCTCTAGCTCCTSTCTCACCCGACTGTGGACAGAACAACTTCATTCTATTCTTGCTCTCTTGGTGTTTTATAGCAAAAGAAATTTTACATCAAGATGTTTGGCATGTTGAGTGGTAGGTTACCCAGCTTAAGAGAGGTTTGAATTGAAGTGGGCAGAGGGTGGGCTGGGGCTGGGGTCCTCCCCTGTATTTTTCTCTATTTGGACAGGATATTCACATTTCTGTAATCTTCATGTGCAAATGCCTTGCAGTCATGGTCTGGTGGCGAGGTTAATTTTCAGACTCCTGCAGAGGCAGACAGTTGAGTTTTGCTGATCTTGATCAGGAAATGGGCCACTGTTATCTCTTGTCAGAATGCTGTCTGGAGGTCACCGTGGGCCAACCACAAGAGGGTACAGGCAGAGGCTTTCTGGGACCTGCTTAGCAGAGGAGAAAATAGGAAATCATCCTCTCTGTCTCTGGAAGGAGAGTCATTGTCTACACACACACASAGAGACCAGACACACAGAAGCTCCAGTCCCCTCCTGAAGAGGGGACTGTGTAAATACAGCATAATAGAAAGGTCAGTCCCGTAAAAACCATGGCTTTGGTGCTCAGGCCCTGTCCCTTTTCCTTATGAAACTTGCCGTCACCCCAATCGAGTGCTTGCCTTATGATCATATAGTGCTCTGCCTTAGTGGAAAASTCTTCTCAGCCGATGCTGGCATACTTCTCAGGTAGGGCACACAATTTGTTAATAGCAAGAGTTTCATGTATTTGGCATGTTTTCTTCTTTAAACATGTTTCACATGCAAGAACACTGGTGCCCTCACTGTGCTTCTTTCTCCCTTGTGGGTTCCTTCCTCTAAGTGCCCTTCCACTGAGGACAAAGCCCTTAAGGGAAGTATCCCTAGATCACAATGGAGGGAGGGAACAAGGACACAGAGTGGACCATGAGAGGCTGGAGGAAGAAGAATAGCGAAATCAAGGACCATTAGTGAAAGTAAAAACCAGACCCCTGTGCCAGTGTGGAGTGTCTCTATCAGAGTCTGTGGATCCTCTGTCAGAGACGCTGGGAGTTTGGAGAAATAGATGGCAAGTGAGCCTTTTTGCCAGTCACTGAAAACTGGTATTTAAAGTACCTATTCTAGTGGACCTAAGGGAATGTGAAGCTAAAGCAGAAGAAAATCAACATTTGCCCACATCCCATGCTCCCCCACACCTCCATTCATATGCACTGGCATCCCAGCTGAAGATGTCTTTTWAATTTTTGTCTGAAAATTCATTGGAAAGGGGATACTGTTTTGCTGCTTGGAAAGGTACATAGTGCGGACTGAGTTTACAGAAGGTGCATGCATGTGTGTATGTGAATATGTGAACATCAGGGGAGGGCATGGCTTCTTCCTGGGGTGCTGTTCTCTCATGTTCATTTACATATGTCATTAGATATTAGATTTAATGTGAACTATTAAGTGAAGAGAAAATTTGACATGTTTGAGGCTCATCTGTCATTTTTGCAGGCAGGATCCTGGAAGGACAGTTTCCACACTCCCTGACATGCATCCCAGAGTTTCCAGTACCCTGGTTCTGCTCAGCCCTTTCACATTATTCCATCTGTATATTCTCCCTGAGCTTGGAAGCATACATGTGTATTTTTCACTCTCAGGATGCCTGGTTCTGAGGCCAGGAAGTCCTAGGAACCTTGTGGCCAGCATGTAATGCCCAGATCAAATGCCCAGATCAAAGTTAATGCTCCAGTGTTTTTCCTAAGTCAAAACCACTTGGATGTGCCCCAAGTCAACACCATCCTTTGGGTGATTTTCCAAATAGAAACAAAGCTGCCCACATGGTTTGGGCTGTCCCTCCAACCCCACTGCACCAAATTGTTGGCTTTTGTTGTTATTTTTCCCTTTCTTTCTCTGGGTTTCAGATGAAAACAGCCCCATGCATCCTGATGCCTGCAATAATTCATGGGCATGTTCCTTGCGGGACCTGTCACTGGCTGTCAGAAGGGACTCAGGAGGAACCCTCCCTGAGATGACTGTGACTAGCCTTTCAGCTTTCTCATGGTCCACACTTATCACTGGAGTGTAGATGGGTTTTGTTCTTCCTTTGATGCCTGTTTTGTTTGTTTGTTGGTGTTGCAAACCACTTGAAGAAGATAGTTATGATTTCTTCACTCATCTTTGATGACTTTGAAAGTGTGAAAGTAGCATCTGTATTGGGCTGGGCTGTTTTGTCTGTCGGTCCCTGTCCTCTTAGCTTCCAGATAGAGCAGAGGCGGGTAGAGAAGTGAAGATCTGCCTTTCTTCCTTTCCTTATTGGTTTCCAAAGGCAGCATGCTCTGTCATAGAAAGGAACACATGACTTTGCAGGTGGGGCCTGAGAGGCCACACTGTCTAAGCTACTGTACRGTGGTGGTGGGCGGTCTTCCCAGAGGTGATGAGCTTGTCCTCTGGGCCACAGGCTACAACTGTTTCCTAGAGTCAGGCCATGACAGGGAGGTGATAATGTTCTCAGCAAGTTTTCAAAGCCCAAATGTACAAGCTTCCGAAATTCACACTTAAACCACCCTGACTTTTCTCTCTTGTTTGGTTTACCCACCAAAACATGACTCCTTTTATCTTCTAACATCTTGTTCTTGCCTTTTGATGCAGCAGACACACTTGATTCCTCTCCCTTCTAGCCTTTGGGTAATTGGAAGTGAGGACCCTCTTCTCCTTTTGCTGGACCCTTCCTCTCCACCACCAAGAAGAATAAGAGCTGGCATCCATGTCTCTTTAGTATAAGTTTTCTCCTCCTCTTTCATGTATTCCTTGACCCCTAACCTAAAAGCTCTAAGTGWTCACTGTAGAAGCTTAGAATACACCAAATACCATACAAGCAAATCTCTTATTYCACCCCAGGAACACAGATGATGGCATTTTGGGGTTATAATCTTCCCACTTAGTTCTGCCTAGACATATAAACCTATCAGATTTTTTAAATTGGTGCCATATTTTGTATGCTTTTTTATTACCTTCTTTTTTGTTTGTTTGCATGCTTCCCATGTCCTTGGAAAGTCACCTAGCAACTGGCTATTCTTGTACTAGTTACCAATACCATCATTTATTTATACTCCCTTCTCACTTGCCTTTTGCAGGCTGAGATCTCGAGGAGCATCCAAGCAGAGGCTAGCACCCTGTGCCCTGATCTAGGACATAAATAACATGCAAAGCTTCTTGGAATTCACTTTTTAATTTTTTTTWATTTTTATTTCTTGGTTCCTACAGAGATGTGAAGGTTCCTGAAACTTTGTAGTAGATGGCCCACCAACTTCTGCACATGCTGATGAGGGCCCTGGGTGGGGGTATGATAAAGAAATAACCAGCATGGGGATCAATCAGTTGTGGGCTCCCTGTGCCCAGCCATAGTGTTGGAAAAGTGACCTTATGGAGAAGCATCCCTTACAAAAGAGAGACTGGGCTAAAAGTCTCGGTATTCCCTGCTATGTAAACTTCCTTTCATCTCAGAGGAGATGAAAAATGGACTAGTACTTCAAGGATGGGACCAGTGTGAGAGCGGTCTGTGAAGGGCAGCCATTTTTAATGAGTTTCTAAAATGTTAATTGTTAATTATGGCCAAGGGCACATTGATGTGAAAGGTGAGAAGAGAATAAAGTGTGACCTACAGGAAAACATTTCCAGTGTAGAGAAAACAGGGCTCTCAGTCACTGAGTTGCCATTTTATTCAACAAGTATTCAGGCCATACCTTTGTGTGGGCTCCCTGCTATGCACAGACCCTTCCCTACCAGTTGACAGTTCTGGAACATTCTGGCACCAGTGTCAACTTTGTGACCCTGGGAAAGCTATCTAATGACTATGATCCTCAATTTTCTTATTAAGCAAAACTGTTTTGTGGGCTTATCTCATTGATTGTTGTGCAGATTCAGTCAGACAATGCATCTAAGAGCAACTTAGTAGGAGGCCTGGCATGTAYGATAAATTTAATTATTCCATCCATGAGAGTAGTACCAGTTAAGTTAATTCAAAATTTCAGATGAAGGAGAAATTTTATCTGCATGGAGCAAGTGTGGGAGTCTTCCAGGTAGAGATGCATGCACCTGGGCAAGGTAGAATCGAGATGGTGAACTTCTTCTGGAGCAGGGGAGGCCTGGATGAAGGTCACAACAAGGTGGCAGTGCCTGGGTGTATTCAGCAGACTTGTCTGCCTCAGAGGAGCCCTGTGGGAAATAACCTGGAAATTACAGTGGGGCCAAATTTCAGATCTGAGAGGCTGGAAAAGTAGTTTAACTTCAAAAAGTAAATAAATATTATTGAAGTTTTCAAATATGCACAAAAGTAGGTATGAAAATAAAATAAATCCATATATCTACTATCCAACTTCAATAGAATGCTGCTACAAAAGCCCACTTGGGTAGCACTTTTTGACTTTTGTGGTGTACGTGTTCCTGTCATGACCAATTTTTAAGCTAACAGTGGTTTAATTACCAGTTCACAAAGTCCGTGTCAAATGATCTGACTCCATACCACAGGGCCAGCTTCAATAACCAATACCATCTTGCCCATCTTAGTTCATCTCCATTCCCAGTTACTTTGGTTTATAATTTACTTTTTTGGATGGAGTATTTTCAAACAAATCTCAGGCATCATGCCACTTTACTCAAGTAAATACTTGAGTAAGCTTATCTAAACCAATAAGTGATTGATTGATTGATTGATCTCTTTATTTAAACCTGTATACGCCATCATCACTCTTATAAAAATCAACAGCAATTCCTTAGTATTTTCTCCACCCAGTCCATATTCAGATTTTTTCAGATTATCTCAACCCACCATTTTACAATTGTTTTGAATCAGGATCCATAGGTTGGA